AAAAGGAGAAGGAAGAAAATAATCGTGACTCTGCTCAGGAGCCACAACATGGAAGCAACATTGTCATGTCGTGGGACCTGAAGCAAGACTACGATTTTTCATTCTTTGAGCCATACCAACCACCTCTTCATTACCCTTCTCTAGCCATGCAAAATCTTGTGAAGAAGGAATATGCAAAGTTCATAAAGCACGAGGAACTTAAAATTTTTAGGTATGAAGAATGGGTAGAATGGGAGGAATCTTTTCAAGAAGAGCATTCAAAAGAAGAAGTGAATCATTGGGAACCTCGAGTTTGAACTCCGATGATTTTTAAGGTGTTCGCTTTCACAAGACCTCTAGATCAAGTCACTGAGATAGTTGAAGAAAAAGAAGAAGAAAGCAAAAAGTCAAACTTTGACAAAATGAACTCAAAGAGAGATAAGACGAGGGATAAAGAAGCAGGAACTAATGTCACACTTAAGCGTAATCACGAAGAGAATGACAACATATTGAAGAAAGAGAACTCTAAAAAAGCATATATGAGAAGGTTGACAACTTATAAAAAGAAGAAACTCAAAATGATGGAGAACAAGGAGATTACACTTCCACCGGATTCAATATAGACGGGAAGGAGTCTGGCTCACGACGTTATAAAAAAGAAGTGCTTATCGGGATACAACCAAACGTTTTATTTGAGTTTGCATTTTCTTTTAATTTCGATATTTAGTTTTACGTTTTCTTTTATAAAAATTTCTTAATTGAATGATGATGTGTTTCTCTAATTCTAATTTTCTACAAATACTATTAAAAGAAGTGAAAGCAGAAAAAGGAGCTTAACTTAAAAAAAGCCGAGAGGTGTTAGAAGACTATAATCGAGAGCCACATCTTTGAATAAGTGTGGGGTGCTTGTCATTTTTGAAAGAGTTAGTGGAAAGTTTTGGAGATAATGAAGCTTAAACTCTATTTTTGCATCAGTGTCATGAATTGAAGAATTTCCAAAAGTAGTTGGAGCAGAAACTATTTTTAAAACCTCCCAGTAACCACGATGTGGCCGTCATTATGCCACGTTGTGGCGTTATTTATTTTCGCGATCAGACTCTTTCAGATTTGACTCCACGACGTGGCTTATGCTTTCCCACGTCGTGATAAATTCCAGTGCATTATTTAGAAGATTTTTCATACCACCTTTTTGAAGTCGAGGCTTTTAATTACATTTATCTGACACATTCACAAGAAGAGGGTCCAGTTTCCTGATACTCATGAGATATTCAAGCTTTCCTACAAAGAATCAGATTCGATCTCGCTACTACTACCCCATGGGAGTCTGTTCCTTTTTCTCCCCTTTCTTTCCTTTTATTTGCATTAATTGTGTTAAATATGCAATAGGGACATTGCATGAATTAAGTGTGGGGTAGGGGTCGAATATAAGAATACAAGAAAATTGATTTAAAAACTAAAAATGACTAGGATTTAAAAAATTTTAGAGAACAAAGACTTGAAATGATGGTCTAATTTTGAAATCTGTTAAAAAATTGTTATATTGTTGTGTTGAAACTTAGGTTTCTCGTGTTGTGTGGGACGATCCGATGCGAGCTTTGATGTTTAATTGAGCTAATATATGTGTTAGTGTATTTGTGGCTTCCTTATTTTAATGAAATCATGAGAGAAAAACATAACCTTGTTTAGTTTAAGGGACATAATATGTTTAGCATCGTGTACTCGAAATGTATCCCGGAGAGAATGTGTTGTCATTGCACTTTAGACTAATACCTTTAACCAATAAGGGTTGAAGTTAAGTTCCCTTGCTTAAGCATATGTTTTTCTTTTTAGGATTTTTAATTTTTGGTGAAAAAAAGAGAGTTATTATAAAAAACGTTTGAGTGAAAAGAGTCTGGAAAGCTATGAACATCAAGAGTTATAAAGAAAAGTTCAAAAGTTACAAAAATTGAAGACTCAAGTTAAAGAAATTGAAGAATAAGGCAAAAAGTGCCAAAAATCAAAGGTATAGTATTTTTGTAATTTTTTCTTTCTAGGTTATTTTCCATATGTATGCCTGGGAGCTTAATCAAAAGTTACCTTGAGGTTAAGAAAGTTTTTTGATGATATATTCGGAGGGATGCATCAAATGAATGTTGTTCAAAATAAGTGGGGAAGTGTTTATAAGGATTGTGAGTAGTTAGGATTGGGGAAGTACTTAGCAACCATTAGCCACAAATACATGCATTTTGGTTTCGATGTATTGGATGAGCTTAAAATGTATTGTCTTATGCGATGTTGGTAGCTAAGTCTTTGATGTGATAGTATGATAATTATAAAATCAGTTTTTCTTGCGGGCAAGCAAAATATAAGTGTGACGTATTTTGATATTGCCATAATTATACATATTTTAGGCATTATTTTAATACATTTTAAGCTCTAATTTGGTGAATTGTAAAGATATTTGGTACTTATTAAGTTAAATTCTATTTTGTAGCCAAAAATGGACAATCTCGAAAAAAAGGACCAAAACTGAAGATGGCTAGAAACTTGGAGGTCGAAGTTACCATTCAATATGGAAGAAGAAAGAAGAAGCGTGCAAAAGAATGTATGCCACGACATAGCAATCTGAATGCCACGACAGCACCACCTTTCCTACACAGAATCTTCCGAGACTTGGGGCATACACATTTTCAATGATCTCCACGTCGTGGATATTGGCCACGACGTGGGAAGTAAAATTTGGCATTTATATATTTTGAACTTTAGGCCGAATTTTGGGGGTTGGCTGGAGAATAAAGTTAAGAGCTGCGACTAATACCCATTGGAGAACCCTTGGAAATGGAGATATCGTTTAGAATTCAAGATTTGGAGATTGTTTTAGGAAGATCATCATTAGATTACTCAATTTGCTAGATTTCACCATGTCTTTTCTAGTTAAATCATATTTATTGTTTGTTTCTACTTTGATTATGGGCTAATCACCCTAAACTTTCGTTGGTGATGATGAAACCTTAACCTATGTGTTGTTTTGAATTTATGGATATTTTTATGTTGGTTGCTAGTATTTGATAAATCATATTCCTTGCATTTTTAAGTTCTAATTATTATTGTCTTTCCTTCAGGTTATGTGTGGTAGATGATCATTTTATTGCATTAATTTGTTATCTAGTTGTTTATGATCATTGAATGTTAGAGATAAGTGATGAAAGTTAGTAATTGTAACTGTGTTAGAGAGCATAATTAATCCATGATTAGTTCTTGGTTGCTTAACTTGATCATAGAAAAGTAACCAACATAAGTAATCTAATAGAAATCATCCATAAGGAAGGGGGGGGGGGGGATTCGGAACTAACAAAAGTACTCTTTAAATCTTGAATTAAAATTGTTCTCTGTTCTTGCTTAGTTTCTAGTTGTTAATTTGCTCGTTGATTGAATTATGTTGTTGAACTTGTAAAATCAGTAACCCCCCCCACTTTTGATTGCTTTCCCTAGTTTAATTTTTAGTAGTTATTTTATTAGCTAAATATTGTTCCTTATGATCGACATCCTACATACCTAAACTATTCTATAATTCGACTAGGTACATCGTCTAGGTGCATTCTAGATAGTTAAGTTCATTATGTTATACATTTAAAACTGGTAGGTATAATTATGCACATCAAAAAGAGTAGGGTGATGGCATGACTTGTGTTCTGGTGGTAGTGAGGATAGTGGCGTGAGTGGGATGGTGGTATATAGGAGTAGGATGGTAGCATGAGTAGGATTGTAGTAGGAGTTATGTTTGTGTTATGGTGGTTGTGAGGGTGGTGACAAGAGTGGGATGATGGAGGTGATTGGTGATTGGTGGTGAGTGGTTCATGTTGTTGATATTTCCCCTGAAAGTACATTGCCATACATAATTGCCTCTGAAAGTATATTGCTTATTCTAATGGTGGTTGTGGAAGGGTGGTGAGGGACTAGTAAAGAGGGGGTGGGTGAATTAATAGTCGTATTTTAAAAATGTTTCAAAGTGCATTGCATATTCCGATGGTGGTTGTGAAAGTACATTGCCTTAGATAATTAGTTAAATTAAAAAATTGTTACAGTTTTAGTCCTTATATATAGCCTATGGGGTGGGGTGGGGTGGTTTAAGGGCAAAATGATCATATATATATTTAAAAAGTATCAGCCAAAGGGTAAGTTTAATAACCCAAGGACCATTTATGTAAGGAAAGCAAATCACAGGATTACCATTTTACAAATACAATACTATGACCAATAGTGTGAACTTTGGCTAACCATAGGGAACAAATGTGTAATTTACTCTAACATGTTTGTTTTATGATTAGTGTTTGTGACCAGCCCATTTGACTAACAAGATATTTAACAAGAATGTCTTGAGTTCAATTCCAGACATATACTAATTCGCGGTTCTAAAAAAAGTAATAAATACTAAATTTGTTATGTATTTTAAAGACATAAGAAAATAGGCAAAATTTAAAAACTTAGCATATATATATATATATATATATATATATATATATATATATATATATATATATATATATATATATATATATATAATGTATAATAACCCAAGAGTATTTGAATGACAGCCACTTATTATTTATAAAATTTAAAAAGTAGACAAGAAATGTTAACAAATTTATAGATTAGAAACAATCAAACCGATACCTTATATCGAAGTTAAAATCCTCTCCAATGAAAAGGAAGGTGAATGGACTTAGATACGCCACCAGAAAAAACTCAGCCAAGGAGATAGCGCGGGCCAGACAAAATTAATTTAATTGTCACCAACATACTAGATGGATCAACTAAATCAGAGCTTAGGAAGATCTTCTCCTCCTATGGAAACATAACAGACATCTACTTCGGGAAAAAAAAGGGAAAATAGGAAAATCTTTGGCTTTATCCGTTATGAAGGAGTTAAGAATCCTAAGGAATTGGAATCCAATCTAACCGGCATTAGATGCAGGAACGACATTCTAGAAATCAACATTGAAAGAAAAGGTCGTAAAGAGTCACATTGTACTACCGAAACGATGAAACACTCTAAGAACTCCAACGTGTTTCATTCATCAAACCCAAATCCTGTAAAGGGTTTCACGGGACACGTCGGAAGCAGATCTTATGCTGAAGTTGCAGGAGCCAATAAGTACAACAAAACAATTCCCCCACCGCCACCTCCGCCACCTATACTCGCAACCTCTCTGTATATCGATAAGGATATGGAGAGATGGATCCAAAAGACCACTCTAATTGGCGAAGTAATATCTCTTGATCATCTTGGTAACCTCCGTACCCTGCTGTCAATTCATAGTGATATAGTGGCCAACATGAAATATGCAGGTCGGATAAAGGTCATTCTTAGTTTCTAGAGCACTTCTAAAGTGATGGTATTCCTGGAGAACGAAAATAATTAGAGGAACTCATTTGTAACACTCGTTCCAGGTACGAATCAAGTTTTGTATTAATTTTCTATTTTTCGATGGCCATGACGTGGTGGAGCATCTCTACAACATGGCGGGATGTTTTTGGACCGCAGAATTTAAATGACCCGCCACAGCGTGGCCATAGGTTCCATGGCGTGGTAGGTGTTTTAGTGCAAAACATAATTTTGGGCCTTAGGTCCTATATAAAGAACACTACGGATAGGGTTTTGTAATCATTCAGCCTCCATCACCCTCTCAAACTCAGAAAACTCGAACCCTAGCCTCCATTGAAGTTGTGAGCTCATTCTTGGTGATTTTGGTGATTTTTGAAGGAGAAGGAAACCCTTGGTGTGGTAGTTACTAGGAAAGCATCATTTCCTTCAGCTAGCACATCTCCTGGATGTTGATGAGTGTCCAAGATCCAACCTTTTCCTTGCTATGTTACTAGATCTCTTGATTTTGTCCCTTTTCTTCACGTCTTGATGGATTTGGGTGGTGAGATCTCATAAAGTTTGCAACTTTATGAATCTCCAGGCCATTTACGGTATTTGGTGTATTGGATCTGATTTATAAATGAGCTTTGGTGTCATGCGTGGAATTTTGGTCATCAAACCCTAGTTTTGACCCATTAGGAGTTCAATACATGCATTTGACATGCATGCATAGAAAGAATGGAGTTTTATGTTATTTTTGGAACTAGTAACCCTTCTTGAATCGTTGGTCATGAGATCTTCAAGACTAAGTGCTTGATGATTAAGCCATGATGTGTTTTCACCCCTTCTTGGACCTAAGGGTGAGATCTTTGTCTCTAGGAATGTCTTAACGGATAAAGTTGGGAAATTTATCCATTAAGACCATGGAATCGACCATATATGAGCTTTCGAGCACTTAGAATAAAAGAAAACGTCTTAATCTATTAAGCTGTTGGGAGCCCAGTGCCCACGGCGTAACCTAGGCTACGACGGCGTGACTACTGTGCTAAGACTCGTCTACTTGTCATTTAATGACCATGATCTGGCGATCAGCTGGACTTGATGTTGACCGTTGACTTTGACCTAGTTTGATTTTAGGTCATTTTGGGTATTTTGAGTAGTAGATTGAAGTTTGAATCCTTGTCATTGTATAGGTTATCGGTACAGGCAATATTCATAGCAGTGATTTGTTCAACTATCATTTCAGACTGTGAGGTAAGTTTCCTTATTGTAATTGTGGGTCGAGGGCACCAATGTCGGCCCAGTAGGTTATGTATCATGGCTTAGGATGTTGTTATGTTGTAATGATTTGTTGAGATCTGCATGATTACCTGTTTTTTGTTATATTTTTTTATCTCTTACATATATCAACATAGTGTGGTTGGGTTGAGGCAATACTGCTCTGTGCAGAAGTCAACAAACCCGGGAGCAAGGCAGATATAACGTCCCACAACTCAGAACCAATTTTTTTTGTTTTTATAGTAAATAATCAATCAACCAAACATGTTTGTCAAACCATAAAATATTCAGAGTAAACCAAAGAGCATCCCAAAAGTACATCAGATTCAATAAGCGGAAAAATCATAGTGTGTGCAACGCGATCATCCCAAGCTCTTCCCCTTCAATCGGGAAGTACCTGAAACATAAACTGAACACCGTAAGCACAAAGCTTAGTGAGTTCCCCGAAATACCCCATACCATACATATAAATCATACAATGGGTCATGCCCAACAACCAACAGGCCCCGCCCGACATCGGGCCCTACCCGGCATCGAGCCCCGCTCGGAACAGATCTGTCTGTATCATGTGATGGGCCCCGCCCAACACACCCATCAGTCCCCGTCTGGAATCAGGCCCCGCCCGAAACACATACAATACATACAGACATGCAAGGTCACACAAACAACTAGCATACATATAACAATAATCCATGGGTTGACATTAGTGCCTTCTGATGAGTTTTGAGCAAAACAAACAATCCTATGTGTGCATGCAACCCTAATTTGATTTGGATCTATGTTTTCTCTAATTGAACATACAAGTATTGAACATCAAAATATAAACCCTAAAAGGCATATACTATTTTCCAAATTCATAAAATAAGATAGTAAACATACCTTTAAGATTGTTATTGTAAACAATCTTGAATTCCTCCTTGAAATCTTTTGGTAGCAAGCGCCACAAGTGTCGCGCCTCTAATGGCTCACAAACAAACCCTGAAAACCAAGGAAAACTATAGAGAGAGAGGGAAGGAGCCAAAATTTCGCCCAAGGCACTTAGAAAGAAGTCATAGACGAAATTCTACCCTAATGAGGGTTTATATAGGTGTTAGGAAGGTTTTGGATAAGGCAAGTATCTCCAAGATAACCCTAATCCCTTAACTCCTCCCTAAGGCATCCAAGGCACACTTAGAGCCTAAGGAAACCCTAGAGACACTCTAGATTTCATTCCCCCCCCCCTCTTTAGGGAGGTTCTAGAATTGCCTAATGCTCAACTATTGAACATTGTCACCTTTAGTCCTTCTACTTTTAATTAATCCAATTAATCCCAAAATTAATCTAATTAATTTCTTATTAATTATTAATTAAATATTACAATTTATAATTAATATATTATTCTCATAATATATTAATAAATCATTTATTGTGATTTCTAGTTAATTTATTAACCAAGTAATAAATTAATAAATCATTATTCTCTCTCTAAAGGTCATCCTATTCAATTGTCAGGTTTGAAGGCAACCCAAAAGGACTGTGTTACTATCAATTCAAGTTTATACCAATTATAGTTATGGGCTTAGACACATAATCCAACAGTCTCCCACTTGGATAAGTCTAGTAACTATAACTGCCAATATAACTAGCAAATTGACTAGCAAATTATAGCTACCAAAAGCCGTTGTCGAACTCTAACCTAGTTAGTAACGTGTCCTTAGATAAGTGATCAAATATTCCTCCATTCTACAAGATACCGTATGGACATGAGACATGAATTATTATCAGTCTCATTGACCAAGTTTTGTTTCCCGATTTCTGATTTATGACGACTAAAATCAGACTACTAATTGAACACATCAATTTAGTCCAGGCTTGGCCAAGCACTTTAGATGTCATCATCAAATCATCGAGGGGCCCACAGATATCGCTTTTCCCGTTAGGGCAAAAGGAACGGATAAACTTCGACTTATATGCTTGCACTATTTACTCATCAAATCACGCACAACAATACGTTTTATAACATCAAGTTACTGATGCATTTACGTATTATCAATGCATCATTGACTCGTAAACAACAACTCATATATCTCCGTTTCAAGAATATAAGATATTATCGTCTCAAAATTACTCGTGATAAAATCCATGAAGTAATTCTCTGAGCGTGGGTTTATCCAATACTCAAAATCCCCATTTCCATGTACTCATGAACATTGCAGCAAAAACTATTGCTATGTCTAAACCCTTAGACAATCTACAATTCAATTCATGACAATATTAATTTTCTACTTACTTCCAAAAGTACGATTGAATATGGATGTTTGAATAATCCAATTATTCGGGAAGTAAAACATGCGAAGTGAAACACAACAATAATCTAACTAACTATGGTCTCTAAACTATTGAATATAAATAAAACTCTTATTATTTAATCACCTTACTAATTAGACTTTATTCATTGTATAATGTTTCCCGTAATCAACTAAACACTTGAATTAAACATTAGTCATGCCATGTTCTAAACATGCATACTATGTCTCTCTATGGTCCTTCCTTTGGGAGAAGATCGATTGGACATTATTCCAATGATTTTCATTTCACAATTTCAAATTCTCGTTACTAGTTAATGTGTTAGAGTTCCAAATTTAAATTCATTGTCATTCTGTGTTGTCGAAGCTTCAAAGTCACAGAGACTGAGCCAACGATATTACAGAACATACCATTTGGAACTTTGTTACAAAAAACAATTCCAAAGTAAAGAATATTCAAATTCAAGGCATGTTCCTTGTACAACTTCCTTGCATTAAAGTTTCTAACTCACAAGTAGATTCTAATCATCAACTCCCATTATGGAAACATTTCCATATTCCCATATAACCATCAATTATGAACAAGAATCGATTCTGAATAAGAATAACTTCCACTCAGAATTATGCCAATATGGTCCGTCCAAATATCACTATACTTCTAATTATCCACAACCAACCAATCTTCATCAAACCTCAGAGTGTTCTTGACAGTTGTTTAACAACTTTAGTCACATCAAGTTCTAGTCCTTTTTCCCTCTCAATGCCCTATGCATTTGGGAAAAATTAGAACAAGCGAATATTATAGCATATGTAATCAATCCTATATCCGAAGCATATGGGACTTGATTCAAAATGTCTTATCAAAGACCTGATATCTTTTTAGTACATTGCTATAATATTTCCATATATCAAATTTCCTATGTTGAAACATTTCAACACGATATTCATATATGCCCAAGACCAAGTTCCATTAAAATCCTTCAATCTAAACTTTTAGATTTAAAACGAAGTGTAAGTGCCCTCTCCCTTACATCTTTCTATAGCGAAACAATTACCAAACTTTGCGACTTGGAAATTTGAAATCTTTCTTTCCTACAATTAGTATTGCCAATCTTGCAACACTCAACATAACAACTATGCTCCGACTTGCATAACAATTATGCTCCCACTAGCTTTGAAATGTACCCAGAAATCCAGCTAGACTTCTAGAAATCAATGCTCTTGACTTTCTTACCAAAGTTCAGATTTCTGATACGTGGTGCTTTGATAAGTCTCCAACTAGACTTCTCAAGCTCATACACCTTCATTAGATAGCATATTTGTGTGTGTTTAAACCCTTTCAGAACTTATAGCTATAAGTCCTGAACGTTCAAACTATTTCTTTCCATTTCTCACAATTCGAACTATGAAAAGGGATGCCGTAACCATATGTGAATTTAGGAACGCAATT